ACCTAGATATCTCGTGTGCTATTGCAAACTAGCCGTAGTACAGAGATAGTAATTTCTCCTGGTGTGTAGACTGTGCTATTGCTACTAACTGAACATTAATTAGATCACATCCAATAAGAAGCATCTTGATGAGATGCTAAAGAGCTATTCGTAACATGAGCCGATGTTCTAATAGGAGCAGGAGCTGCTTCAACTTTGCTAAAAATAACAGCCTATTTCAGGAAAACAGAAACAGAAAAGTATGTATACCTACACCCACGTAGAAATGGGAGAATGGAATATTACATTCTTGTGAGGGTCCAACATTCAGCTGCAGAGCAAAAATGTATCATTAATACAAATCTATAGAGAGAAAGGTCAACACGTTCCCAGTTCTCTGAAGTCAGGCATGGGGATCATTAAAGCAGTATTGTTATGACAGAGGTGTTTGTGATGGGGCTGAACAGCTAGGAGTCTAGCTGCAGGAGGCTTGGATCAGAGAGTGCTATAAAAGAGAGCCACATGATGGTGCAGCTGGTTGTGAACAGTGCTATTAGAACTCTTTTGAGAAAGGTTAACAATAAATGTTACTTTAAAAAGAGCACTGTAATTTCAGTTCCACTTTCCACAAGGTTATTTATGTAAGACAACTTTCCTAGTCATCTATTATTCTGATACATTGTAACTGGACGACCTCACGTCGCCTAAAGTATTTAATGAACTACAAGCGCCCTTCCTCAACTATGTTATTGAGAAATAAATGTGACGGTACAGGTTTGGGCAGTAAAACAGAGCCTAAACCTAAATTAACTGTTAGTTAATGCTGGTTATGTTGCATCCCTATCCCCAAATCTTGGTTCTCTTTTTCCAAAGCCCAATAAAGTCTACTGAATGACGGTCCATTGGCATCAATTGGATTCTCAACCCCTGATCCGGTTGACACATAGGCTTGATCTTAACTTTATACACTCAGATAGCCCCACTAAGGTCAATGGGGCGACTTGCATACATGAAGTTTATATAATTGTTTTCAATGTTACAGCTTTACATTGTAAGCTCTGTGGTCTTCCTAGGTGTCTGTGCAATACTCGCACATTTGAGGGTCTACTGTAATATAGATAAACCACAATATCAGTTTTACCATGTATGTAAAACAATTAAGTGAGAATAGTAGGTTTCTTTTCAAATGACCAAGTACTGTATTAGACTGTCTTGTTACCATAAAAGGGTATTTTACTGACAGTCTTTATATGTTAATTCTGAAGCTGATCTCATTTATTCATAGTCCGGAAGTGTATCACTACCTCATGGAAATTTCAGCACAAGACGAGATGTACAGTATGTACGCTGAATCACATTTATAAATCAAACATTCTCAAAATAACTCAAGGATAAAATTGGAAAAAATAAAGGTTTTGCATTTTAAACAGGTTTAAAAATGTGTAAATTTTAACTAGTTGCAGGTGTACAAGGAATACATAAGCAATTAAGATTTGTAGTTTGACTGAAGTATTATGCATGGAATATATTTTGCTTCCACCGAGCACTTTGTATGTGAAATATGCTCTCATACACTAGTTTCTCTCTCTTTTTACCTAGTGCAGTCCTGAACTGGGAATGGTCAGTCATAATAAACATTCACATTTCTTTTCCTCCCTCACTGCCAGTCAAGAAGAGTTGACCAGGTGGTAAAGAAGGCCAATATTTCCACAAGTGACCTCTACTTAAGTTTTGGGTGCCTGACCTTATCTACAGGGGTGCAGAGTACCTGCAGCTCTTGTTGACCACAGTTAGAGCTGCCAGCACTCAACGCATCCAAAAATCAGGTCCAAGGTACCTCAGCTTGGAGGACCTAATTCAGTGGCCACTTCTGAAAGTTTTAGATTCCCAAAAATGTTTTAAAGAGCAGCACAGCTCGAAAAGGGAGGAATCACAATAGCCACGATTCTCAGTCTATCCTGCACTGAGCACAGGAAAAGCATGGCGGGGGGAGAGTGTCTGCAAAGGTGGTTTAGGACACTTCCGTGTTCCCTATATTCCAAGGACATTAAGGGGCGGGGCAAGCATGGCTTCCAGTATCACAACAGCCACAGGGCTGCTTTAAATTTACACCCCTCTTCCCATGGGACGCAGACCCTAGCAGGAGGGCAGCGGGCTGTGGCCATGTCCAATCCTGCCCTCTCCTTCCCATTCCTCACCCCCACATTCCCCTATCCCAGAAGGGGAGGACAGAGCTAGTCAGGCATGCGTTTATTATGATAATCTGCAATGTTTGCATGAGTACCTGTTTTGTCCAGCTCTGATACAATTGGGAGAAAATACAGACAAATAACCAAACCCACAAACCAAAGAGGAAGGGAAGGAAGTCGTTGCCATATCACGGTCAAAGTGCCACGAAAAGGGAGAGGGATGAAAGTTCTAAATGGTCTGGCTGAAAGACCAGTTGCTCTGATGGCCATGAGTTCAATTACTGACCAATTCGACAGTCACATCATGACTAATAACAGTGGACTGAAAAGGGTGGAAAGGCCATTTGATTTTTCTGGCCTTCATCCACCTCTGCCCATCCTGGCTTTAAGAGAAAGAGAAATACAGAAGGAGGGCTTATATGCATCAGTGGGGCAGAGTCTAACAAAAATGAGATTTCCATGGCAACACGCAACAGCCTCTGTCAGAAAGGCCTGCTAATAGTTGTGAGGCAATATGCTTTGTAGATACAGATTTTAATATTGGACAGATCACATATGTAAACAAATACAATGCAGGCCAGATCCTCAGCTGGCAGAACAGGGAATAGCTTCACTGACTTCAATAGAGTTAGGCCAATTCACACCAGCTGAGGATCTAGCCCAATATCTGGATTAGACAAAACAAACCCCACAAGATCACACAGAGAACTAATTTTTGAAAATAGTTTAAGAAATCCGGTGATGTTGTTTAACTATTGCAGAACCTCACATTAGAATAATTGAGAGATCAACTGTTGATGCAGAAATTTGTGAATTATCAAAGAGTACCAGGGCTGGTTCTAGGGTGGGTAAGAAGGGTGCCAATTTCCTGGAGATGCTGTACTGCTTGTTTTTTATTTTTGCGCTCTGCTGTTTGGCCAGCAGGTTGCGGGGGGGGGGCGGGAGGAGAGAGGAGAACATGACAAAATCAAAATGGCTAGGGCCACTCCTGGAGAGTAGGGATATTGCAGCGCATTATTACTTTTGACAAGCGTAGTTTTATTTGTGATAATACTTCACATTTTACCAATAAGTGTGCTGCAATAGAAAGAAGGCAGGCAGTCTAGTGGTTACAGAAAGTGGCTGAGAGCCTGAATTATCATCCCAGCTCTTCCAAACTCTGTGACCTTGGGCCAACCACTTTACCTCTGTGACTCAGTTTCCTCACTATTAGTTACAAGATTTAATGCTTTCAACAGCAATTTGAAAATGCAACATTTTAAGTATTATTGATAAATTATTTTGTAAGGTTTCAGAGGAAATGTCACTACAGCACTTTGATGTTAAGCCTTTGCAGGATCAAGGCCTAAAAACTTTCAGATATGCTTCAAATTATGCACCACGAGTAGTCTCATTGACTTATATGGGACTACTCACAGTCTGTAAAATTAAGCTTGTGCACAAGTCCTTGCAGGATTAGGGCCCTAACAAAGAATATTTGAGTGTGTTAGTGGAAAAAAAACAAACCAAACCACCAATTAGTAGTTGTCACGCTTGTAGATTAGAGTAATAATTAGGGAAGTCCTGCTACAAATACATAAAAATACACTATGTACAGTTTAAGCCTCTTACCTAGTTTCTATTTTATGGACAAAATGCATTTTATGTGATTTCTGGATTTGTACAGAGCACCACTGGCACAATCCCATTAGGTTTTCCTTGTCTAATTTCAGGCCCCAGAAGAAGTCTCTCTCTAGAATACTCAGGATAAGGTGGATACTGGAAGATGTCAGAAGTAATAATACTTGGTCAGCCACAACAAAGTGTGGCATAAAATATAGTGCTGGAAAAGAGAAGACTGTAAGCTACCAATACCTGATTTATACTTAATTATCAATTCTTAGTTAATATACACACCCTACTCAAAACCCCTATTATAAGAGGGACTGCAATGCACTGCAGAATGAAAATGATTTTCAGAACTTTTTAGTGATAAACAATGATAGTTCTCTATTGTCAATGTGTCTGTTAAACTTAAGCAAACAACCTCCCAATATTGTTTCTTTCGCTTGGAAAGGAGAAGAGGTTCCTTGTATTACTGTTGTCTAAAGAGATATGGTAATTTCTAAACACTGCACACTGACCCATTCTATGAGTCTTATTGTTTCAATGAGCTGAGCCACTCACTGGTAGTTAACATTCTACCACAGCTACAGATAAGAGTTAAACAACCTTGCATTTTAAAAACAACAACAAACAAGGTTATTGCTGGCAACATATGGAATCTATTTTTACCCCTTACCCTCTAGGCATTTACTGTACATTTCACAGAGCAAACCCCTCTCTTTAGGTCATTGATTTACATGAGTCAAGGAACACGCATCTCTGAAACCAAGTTGTACATTTTGTTGACATTTTACAGAATTACAGGCAAGCACAGTTCTCCCCCCCCATAAGAGCACCAAGACTTTTCCACACCATTTTTCAGTCACATGGCACCAAGCACAAGTACCATTTCACTGGTGATCTGTTGACATTAAATAAAACAGAAAGGCTCTATCCACAGGGCTAGTCAAGATCCTTCTGTGCTAAAAATGCCACTTACTTAAAGCTAGTAAACCAGATTAAAAAAAAAAATATTTAGAAAAAAAGAAGAAAAAGGTTAAAGCAGTTATTGAAAAGCAACAGTGAGCACTCAGAGCATGATTTGACTAGTTAGCGTCCAGGGCAAACTCCCACCTAGTGGCAGACAAACCAGTGTCCAGAACAAGCTACCAAACATATCCACAAAACTAAATTTAAGCCCTTTTGCCATCTAAAGCCACCAGAGCTTAGAGCCAGAGCTTGCCTCACCTGCTTTAACAGGAACTGGTCCTCTGCGTTGGTCTTCAGGGAGATGGCCAGGTGGATTGCTGAGAGGACCACCCCGCTGATGACCGCAGCCCTCATCCTGACTGGCAGCAGCGTGTAGATGCTGTAGATGAAGAAGACAGTCCACCAGATGCCCTCGGAGGCGCTCCTGGGCCAGACCAGCAGCACCCCCACCACTTGCACGGCCACGATGGCCAGGATGACCGAGTAGCACACCAGCCACATGTGGTCCTGGTGGAAGTCGTTGCGGTTGCACAGCACGCACAACAC